GAGAGAGAGAGAGAGAGAGAGAGAGAGAGAGAGAGAGAGAGAGAGAGAGAGAGAGAGAGAGAGAGAGATTAGAAGGAGGAATAGGAATACTGATTGGCTGGAGCCTAGAGCTGCCCTGCTCTTGCTGGTGGATGCTGGTCCGTTTGAAGCATTGACTCTGCTTTGTGTTCTCCTTACTGAGTCCTTAGGACCAAGCCGTTCGGTGCTCCATATGCTCATCATCTACATCACCTCCTGTTTTCCTCCATGATCGAGTCCGTCTTCTGCATAGGGCGTTGTTGAACAAATAGCGTAGCGTGCACCCAAATGCAGTTGAGCCCCGACAGACACGGGGTTTAATCGTAGGTGTGTGCAGCATTCTTCCTTTAGTACAAACGCACTTGATAGGTATTCCTGAAAGAATAAGCTTTCAGAGAAGGCACGGGTGGGTTCGTGAAGACACCAAACTCGTTTGTGGAAAGCAAGTCTCCATTGACTATGCAGGAAGTAGAGTTGTGGTTAGAAGGGGGAGCTTCTCTACCTTCTTTGGATAGACGCCAAGGTAGGTCGGAGGTGGAGCATAGGTAGGAGGTAGAGCATACCATAGCCACCTGAGAGTGAAGCTGACATATATTGAATGGATGAAAGCAGACTCAGCAGATCTAACCAGGGAACCAATCACCAGGTGCAAGGGATATTAGAGTCTTCAGAGTCTTTAAACTGAAGTAGCCATGGCTGCCAAGAAGGTGCCAAATCCTTAGCAGCAAGGCTTGCTGAAAGTGGTATGCAGCAGTTTGGCAGTCAAGAGCTTCCCTAGACTGTGGACATTGTTGAATGTCTCCATAGCCGCAAAGCTCGATGAATATGGGTGAAGCAGTTTGCTGGTCGAGCGCGAAGAAGATGGAACTGCCTTACCCGTTGATAGGCAAGGAGGACAAGAGGATATATAACCGACACTTTTTTGGGGTGAAGGCTGTCGCTGTGCGATTCAAAGGTGAGCAGCGACTCTTCAGCACAGTGTAAATTCCCTCCCCCCCCACCCCACCCCCCCACACACACCTTCCCAGCGCCTATTGTTACGATCTATGTTTCCGAGTGCACAGTTTGATGAAGTCACACTGTGCAAACTTCACTTCACTTGAGACTTCCTTTTTTTTTTTCCGTTTGATGAGATTGGCTAGAAGTTTCAACTTTTTTTTTGCGGGAACGGCCATCTTAAGCTTGAAATTTGAACTTTGAGCCTTGAGGACCATAAAGACCTGTTTTATGAAGAAAAAAAAAACAAAACTGAACGTCGAGGGTCCTTCGTGACATCCGTTAAAATTGGAACGATACAGAAAAGACTAGCATACCCCTGCACAAGGATGACACACATAAATCGAGAAATGAACCAAATTAATAATATTAAAAAAAAAAAAAAAAAGGTCTGAACTTCGAACTTTGAGGTCTACTATTGTTGGGCACTGAATTGCTGTTTGTTTAACTTTGTTTTCAAATTCGAAGTTTGAAATTTGAAATTACAACACACCATGATTGTTTTCTGAAACCGCACACTGTCTGCTGTCTGCTGTGATGTGATCGTTGACTTTGTATGTTATCTTTATCTTTTGCTGTTCATGGAAAGGCCTTCCATGTGTTACCATGGATTCGTCAGCTGGGCAAGCCGAGCAGCAGGAGTTAATGGCGCCAAATACGAATATTGCGTCAACCTGCGACGAGTGTTCAACATTGCGGTGGCAGTTGATCAAATGCAAAAACGGTGAGCACAAGATTGTGATGTGAATCATGTGATACCCTGTCATGTCATTTTGACTCGTTTGGTGTACCCTCTCGCCCCAGTTCGTTTGAAAAAAATGAACTACAATTGGTGCCTCGTACAAGTACTCTTGTTCGTTGGTTACCAGGAGGCTTGCCCTTTTGGTTTTTCGGACTTTTTTCCAGTTGCTCCTTTGGATCGACCAATCCAATGGCCGGCTGCAGGTTCGCTCTCCATCTGCAGGAGGTTGTCCCGCCGTTTTCGTTTTTTTTACCAGGAGGCAGTGGTGGTTTAATCAGAGACTTGGGATTCATAACCTTTTTTTTTTCCCCCTTCAAAAAAATAAATAAATAAATAAAATGGACCATTCTGTCCATTTCTCAATTTATGTGTGTCATCCTTGCGCAGGGGCCATGCTAATCTTCAGTCTCTGTATCTTTCCAGTTTTAACGGATGTCCCGAAGGACGCTTGGGATTCAAAACTTGAATTGCAAACTTTCGAGTCACGAGTCTTCGTGTCCCGACTAAAGACATAGTTAGTATTTATGTGAGGAATCTGAGGATGAGAGCATTTAAAAGTGACCCGCACCCTTTTGCACTGCCAAATGTCTGCTTGCTGTACATTTTCCGGTGCAAAGGAATCATAAGAATGTGGTCACTTCTCATTTTCAGGATGAGACATCGGGGAGTCGCTGCTGCCGAATTCGCAGCGCAGGGATGGGCGTTGCACATACACAAATTATGAATAGTCTCCATCAGGAGAAAGTGGTACTTAGATAGTTAAGCAGCAGCGAGCGTTTCCTGAACCGTCGCCTGGCAGCTGTCTGGAATGTAGTTGTGGAGGGGTGCATCGCACACTCGTTTGCACGCAAAATATCTGCTTTTTTTGTCTGGCGTGTAGTCGTGGAGGGGTGCATCGCACACTCGTTTGCAACTTTGCACGCAAAATATCTGCTTTTTGTACATCTTTGTAAAATCTTGACATTGAGAAGTGACTGCCGCACTCTTTTGCAATGCAAAATGTCTGTTGTCTTTCTGTACATCTCTTGTCAATGAATGTCAGGAGGACGAGACATTTTGTAATTAATGGCCGAATTCTGGAGAAAGCTTTCACCAGAGTGAGAGCTAGTGTTTTTTTTGTTACTGAACTTGTTATAATAAACAGGGAAAATGCAAAACATCTGCTTTCTGTACATTTCCCACTGCAAAAGAGTACAGCCATTTCTCAACTTCAGGATGAGAGATCGAGAAGTGACGGCACTCGTTCATGAGGACAGGAGATTGAGGAGTCACCAAACTGTGGAGAAAGTTTTCTCCATAGTGTGAGCTAGTGTGAGCTAGTGTTTACCCTCTGTAGCTGTTTATGAAATGGATTTTTTATTTTTATTTTTTTAAGTTTTAACGGAAATTATAACATTTCGTTGTGTTATTAAACTTACTATCAACAGGGAAAATGCAAAATCTTGTAATGAAAACATCTCCTAACTTTTGTCTAAGATCTATCATCAATTGTACTCTGTTCCGATCAGCTTAAAAAAAAAAAAAAAAAAAAAAAAAAAAAAAACAGGACCTTCTTATGGGCCTGGCTCCATAGATTCTGGGGCATAGCATCAGTCCAGTTCCTATTCCACCGGCAAGTCAGAAAGGATTACAGTTTACAACAGATATGTACACTCCTCCCCCTCCCCATTATGGTGGAGAGGCCCGAGTGGATAGCGTTGATTACTTCCCATCGGAAGGATATACCACCCCCCTATAGTACCCTATGCCGATCAGCTTCATAATCACTTCGATAAAATTAAGAAAAAGGGAGAAAGCATGGGTACCATCCAGACCCCCAGGCCAATTCCATACAGTCCCTGGTTTGGCGTCCGGAATCCAGACGTTTGGAGGTGTCCGGACTCTGGACTAAATTCAAAATATTTAATATCCTATTTTAGTATTTTCCGAATTTCGAAGTTTTTGAAATTTTGATTAGAAAAGACTTACTGTTGGAGATAGAGTCTGATAGACTCTATTTTTCTTCTTTTTCTTTTCTTTTCTTTCCCCAAAGCATCATTGGCTGGGGGCACACCTACCGCAGACAGGGATAAGCACCCATGCCCATTTTAGGGTCACCCAGGATTGATGGCTCGGATCTTGGGCCTCGCTGCACTACTCTCGACATGCACACAAGACAAAAATATTGGCGGTGTATCTTTCCATATTCTAGCGAAAGATTCACTCTCGTTTTGCACATTTCGAGAGTAGTGCAGCGAGGCCCCTTATTCGTGGGAGGGCGGTATGTGCTGGGAACCGCGCCCCTTATCCTGACAACGTTGCACACCCTACCCTCTTCACCCGAATAGAACGCCCGGTCATTATCGCTGCATCTGGACTGACAGTTGGGGCAAATGCAGCTATAATGACCGGGCGTTCTCTTCGGGTGAAGACGGTAGTCCTGACAGCATACTACCGTCTTCACCCGAATAGCATGCCCAGTCATTATAGCTGTATTTGGGGCAACTTCCAGTCTAGATACAGCAATAATGACCGGGCGTTCTATTCAGATGAAGACAGACGGTAGCCCCCTCATCATGACAGATTACGAAGCCTTCTCTGTCGAGTAGCACGTCCCACTGCTAAACGTGGTTCGGAATGGGCTCTGCCCTACTCTTTTTCCCAGAGGGTGTACTTCTTGGTCTGCCAAGTTCATACTATATATAGAATGGCTCGAGCCTGAGAACGGTAAGCTATATGAAAGGGCAACTTTCAGTCTACATACAGCAATAATGACCGGCTGTTTTATTCAGGTGAAGAAGGTAGTGGATTCTTTTCCCTTTTTGGTGTTTTGTTTTTGCGCCAGCGCCCACGGTTAGCGCTAATTTTCGCGCTAGCAGGCATGCACTTCCGCCCTAGAGCTCTCAGCGGCCAGTCGAGCGCGGGGTTCCCTTGTGCAGGACACGGCAAAGCCACCTTCCCATTTTTTGAACTTCGGCGGGAACGAGGAGCGCTGTGCCTTCAGGCAGAGTGAGGTGGAGGGCAGGAGCAGCCATAGCTCGCCTCATCATCACCGGTGACAAAAGTGAACAGAATCAAGACAACCGCCTATTTCGGGCCAAAAACGAGCAAAGGAGGCACACCGCCAGTACGATCGGGAAGAAGTTCCACAAAAGGATCACGTCTAGAATACCGTATCACAGCGGACAAAAAGACATCAAATACACGACAGCAACGAAAGCGTTTAGACAGGCAAGAGGGAGGGTGAGGGAAGGCGATTTCAACAGGAATAGAGCCGCGCCTATGGGCGCGGCTGTCCTTTCCTTTTTCACGGAAAGGACAACGAACCTCAACGGCGAAGAGGAAAAGGAGTAGAGGAGGGGCGAGAGAGTAAAGGAAAGGGCAAGGAGAGCGTGAGTGACAAGAAGCAGGAGCAGGCGAAGAAAACAAGAGAGGGGAACGGTAAAAACGAGGATTCAAAGCCGGAAGAGGAACGGGAAGGAATCTTCAAGAGCTTACTTATTGAAGACAGCGCCAACACTAGTCGTCAAAAGACAGGTGTAGTCTCCTTCAAAAGCTCCTTCCAAACAAGGTAAGAAATCGACATTCGCTTTTTCATTACTACCATCGCCAATATTACAGGGATCTGAGCCGGAACGGAAGACCCACAAGCCAAGCACTGAGTAGTCTCCTTCAAAAGCTCCTTCCAAACAAGGTACGAAATCGACATTCGCTTNAAGGTACGAAATCGACATTCGCTTTTTCACTACTACCATCGCCAATATTACGGGGATCTGAGCCGGAACGGAAGACCCACAAGCCAAGCACTGAGAGCATAGTACAGAAAGAGGAGAGGGAACACATCACAACAGAAGTTTAAGAGGGACTGCGTACCAGTAGATAATACAGAGAGCTTGATCCGAAGTAGGGAGAGAGACCTGGAAAAGGGAACGGGGAAAGATTTCGACTAGACTCCAAAAGAGGGGTCTTAAGAGACAAGCGAAGAGCGCTAAACTTATGACGAGAGTGCGACAAAAGTGACTGCCCATACCCCACCCACTCATCAACCCCACAACTCCCTACCCGCTCAACACCATCAAAGCTCCTCCCACCACCGCTCCTTACCCCCACCCCGAAACATTCCCCCTTCCTTCTCACCCACCCGTCCTCCCCAACATTAACCCCACCCCCCCCTCCCCCCTCCCCCCCAATAACTCACCACTCATCTGTTAATCATCATAGGATATTACTAGGATATTATCGATATCACGATCTTTACTATCTCCAGTGGGATATTAATATCACTACAATACCACTATTTCAAAGGGCCTTTACCCGATATAGGCCTCAGGCCTTGTAAAAGTAAAGCAGCCCGGGCCTTGTAAAAGTAAAGCATTGTGAAAAGGTATCTCGCCAGGGCTCAGAAA